ACTGACGATCTATCAAACGGGAACGGTACCTTGGCTTTCACACCAAATACAGTGGTTGAGGTCTACATTCACGGCGACGGCGGTTGTGTCGATCGTTATCAGCGGCTGTCGCGAAAAAACACCGGGATCGAAAACGAATCGGCTGTATCGAATGGAAATGTGTGGCTTTTATGTTCGCGCGGTGCACTGGGAAGATTCTCATCGCTCTCGTACCGCACGCCGCATGTTATGTAAGAGACTGACAATGCCACTCGCGTAATATCCTCGTGGAAAAGCCGTTCGCCGATGCGCCGGACCGATCCTTTCTCAGAAACGCGAGATGCATGCGCTTATCGGCGGCGCGTGTAAAAGAGAGATCGGGACGCGGGAGGGCGGAAGGGAGTGAAATTTATCTGGAAAGATAGAAAGGTGAGGTGAAAAGAGCGCGATGTTGTTTACACTCACCTACAATCCGTGGTCCGCGTGGTCGCGCTTATCCTCGCGGACCGATCTAGAAATTCTCGAATAAATTGGCACGAGAATGTTTCACGTTTCCCCGCGGGAATGTGTTTCGTTCACTGCGAGAAAAAAATTAATTAGACGTCTCGCCGCGTAGACGATTCCGATGACGAGCGATGCACCGCGAGCGCGAATGAGCGCGTGTTACTCACGACGCGCGAAACGAAAGTACTCGACGAGACTCCCGCCGCATGCTTTCGCGCCAGCGCTCGCGATACTGTCCGATCGTCGAGTACTTTCTGACGGATCCACCAAGCACCTCAGGATCGAGTCTAGCAGGTGCGGCGCCCCATAATGCGCCTCCGCCTATCGCGAATACAAGTATATCTTTCGGCATCTCGTACAATTCAACGAGAAAGATAAACTTACATCAAACACCGTCGTATGAATTTTTTAAAACCCAGAAGCTTCAAAGTTTCTTAAAAGGAAATGCGATACGCGTTAGGTATTTAGAATTTCCTCTAATGAGGCACAAATGATAATTATGAAGAAATGCGTGATTAGATAGATTCATTTTAAAGTAGCTTATTTCGCTTATCTAGTGATATTGAAATCGCTTTCTTCAGAATTCCAAAGTGTTAACAGAAAGTGGATAATTTAAGCAATAGATTAGATAATAGATTAGAATGTAAAAAATACGTTTCTATTATCAATCGTAATAGATTAAAAGTTGAATTAGATTACTTTTTGACGAACGTATCCATAATATGACACGCAAGTAATCACGATCGTGTAGTATCATTAGCGTTTTCGCGTTTGAATGCAATTGCACGCATTCATAATAAATAAATAGAGAATTATCGGATATTCTTATAGTATTTTCATTGTTTCACGAAATTTTTCAACTGTTAAATTTAGATTAAATTAAATTTGCGAGTAGAAAATTTTTTTACGAAGAAAACAGCTCCACGCTATCTTGTGCCGAGACTGTCTAAGCGGGAAATCGAGTAGGAGACGAAGATCGGCGGGGCAAAGTCACTGTAAACACACAGGCACGTACGCGACACCGAGTACACACCCGAATGGGCAAACAATATCCGTATCTCTAACACGATAGCGTGCCTCCAATCAGAGTTATCGTCAGAGTTGTGAGATTAACGTCCCATTAACCCATTAAAGCCCACAATCGCTCGTAATTGCCTTGAAAATTTTCAAAGGAGTGAAACTTTATTTAAACTTTCTTTTTTGGAATGTTTCGATATTTTATTCTGGAATTATCGACATTTTATCAAGTTGAAATATCTTATATTGTGAAGAGATTGTAAAAAAATTTTGAAAGGTGCATGTTGTGAGAGATAAAATGAATGTATTATAGGTAGAAAACACATAGATAGAAGCACATACGAATAACACGAGACATTAAACTTTACTGCAATTTCCGGTAGAAGAAGCTTGATTATGTCGTTAAAATTATAAATACACGACCAAGAAAGAATAATAATTGTACCGTCGAGTATCAGTAATAAACCACATGATATTTTAAGAACTATCTGATTTGCTTAAAAGTGGCGAATTATACAAGCGACTCGTTTGACCTGAAAAAGTTTTCTGATTTAAGTGTACGACTTCCCGTTACGAAGCACACAAATACGCGCGCGTTCTTGGCGCGAAGTGAATGAAGTTTTTGCGATAAGTAGATACGTTTCGGACCGCGTAAGTATGTCTGCGGATGTATATTTTCAGAAGCCCATTCTTAGCGCCCGAGGTCGTTAATATGCAAATGCACGCGGTTCCAGACGAATGCCTTATATCGCGCACGGATTTGGCGTGCAAAGTGATTCATCCGCGCGGTTATAATCAAAATACATCGCCTTTGGGTACCACCGGGGTCCGTCTTTATAATCCTGGCTTTTACACGTCACGAACGATGTGCCGCGCAAGGTCGACCTAAAAAAGGCGATGTCTGATCTTTATCGCGATTAATTAGCGATGCGAAAGCATCGAAAAAAGTGGTGTCTTTTCATTTTTGCGAAATCGATCGTGTGGCCCGTCCGATTCGCACACAAGCGCCGTTAAGTGAATGGTAATCGCGATGAGTCAACAGTATGTCGATCTGCTCTATTTGTCGCCGATAGCGGCAATGAGTATTATTGCTATCATTAGCTCTTTGAACGACTACTCTTTGCAGGATAGTTATTATCCCAGTTTATTTCTTATTGGAGATTACGCGATACGTAACAGCGCCACTTCGCGACTAATTGCGAGCTTGTTCGAATCACTTGACGATCGTAAACTGACTTGTCTTACAAAGTGGCTAAACGGATGGGGAAGCTTGTATAAACTTGAAAAATTACTTGTCGGCGTTAATTGCTATCCGCGGTATTCATTCATTCCGATTTACTCATTCAGCAGTATATCTAATAATCTAAGTGCTGGCGCACAGCGCAAGTTGTGCGGTAATATCGAAGTGGAATTTGCGCCGGTCGTAAATCAACAACACAAAGTCGGACAACCATACGAAATTCATCTATTACGCGCCGTTCTCTCCATCTACGATCGTAATTTTCTCGCTTTCCTTGACGGCAATCCGATTCCATGCAGTCGCGAGAATTGTGCAAGTAGATCGAAGTTATCGGGACCTTGGGACCAAAATATGCGCATTAATCTCGATGCTAATGCGCATAATGAGCTTGATATATCGGGGAAACGGTGTCAATGTCAATACCGTATGCTGCGAGCGCGTTAATGCGATACGCCGAAGATTTTCGTGTCTTCCAGTTTAGCCTCCGTGAAATTTTCTTCCAGACCGATAAATCTCAACCCTCGAACGATCTTCTTCGCCAAATATACGGATTTATCTTTCACAAATAGTTCAATCAAAAACTTATCTCTGAAACATTGAAATCTATTTGAATTTATTTCAAGCAAGAATTAATATTTTTTTAATTAAACGAGATTTTGAATCGTACGATTTTAAAAATCGATTTTTTTGTTTTTTTTCCAAGCGTGTTGTGTCTTTATTTTTCTACACGGTCTTCCGGATGCATGCACGTAGGTAGACAGGTCTAGAAATCGCGACGGGTTTACCTATATGGATTTGAAAACATACCGATTTCCAAAAGCGGTTGCGCGAAATGGAGGCGAATCGCGGAATACAGCGAGACACGTTCCCGCAAAAGCGGACGTAATTGCTCCTGCAAACTGGTTCACAGAAGACGCGCCTTTCCAGGTGCGGCTTAACCGATGATGCGGGAAAGAGATGCGGCCGGTGTGATGTCACTAGTTAGGTTTGCGGTTTGCGCATCCGATGCCCTCGTTTGTTATTTTAGCAAGTAAACTTACACTCGGTGAGAATTTATATTCAGCGATCAAAATCGACACATCAAGTAAAATTAAATACTTCGATGTAAGTTGTGATATAGGTCATATACAAATCAGCATGCAAACAAAAATAATATTATCTTTGTTATTTTCGTAACAACAGAAACGCAACAAAAGTGCATTTATCTATTTTCAATATTATATTGAGGATAAAAATCTATCAAAAGTAAATTACTAAAAGGATGGCAGATTGAAAAAAAAATTGTGCACATTGTTATCAATATATTGTTTACTACGAGATTATTTTCTCAATTTTCTATTTTTATTTATTATAAATGAAACATTTCTTTCCTAGGATGCGCGTTTAGACTTTTGGGGGCAAATGTTTAACAATTGAAAAAAGTTTTGCATATTATTAATTGTGATTTTTCTTAATTTTGTATTTTCTCATCTGAAAAAAGCATATCTAAAGCACAAGTGTCTAAAAAAACATCTGCCTATTGTAAAACCGCTCACGTTGCGATCATAATCAAGAGAGGCGAGCATCGGGAAAGCGTTAAGCTCAATGAGCAGTCGCGTTTAATCCACAAGACGTTAATAGCTGTTCGCTGCAGTAGATCCGCACGTCGGCCCTCGTTTCCCATTCTCCGCACGATCATATCAAAAATTACCGCCATACCATGTATCGAAAATCGATACTATTCGCGCGGAGCAAATACCGACATCTAGCGGGCTGAGACTTCATCAGAAACAGCAGAGAGCGTTTCGTGTCGTTTCGCAGGGTTGAATCGCGTTCCGTCTTTAGGTAGAAACAGAAGGTAACTAGTCCGTCGAGAAGGCCAGTCGGCTGGCCCGGAGAGGGGAGAGTGAATACCGATGAGGAAAAGAAGAGGAGAGAGAGCAAAGCAGCGCTCCGTGCCGTGGCAAGAGATCCACGACCTCAGGCCAAGGGAATATACACCGTAGTACGAATCGTCGTTCTGGTCGTGTGTATGCGCCGTCTGCGGAGCAGTAGGATAGTACGCCATATTCCCCTCGATGGTCGGTGGCGTGACAGAGACGACGGATACGGGCCGGGTAACGGATGACAGAAATGCTTGAACGTGTGAGCGTGAGGATTGACGGTGAACGTGGACAGGATTGATAGTGCGACCGTGTCGTTCGCGCGTAATTCGGGGCGTGTGCCTTTCGCCGTTGGATCGTGACTTTCTCGCTCCGTCTCCGTTCTGCACACCCTCTCTCTCTCTCTCTCTCCTCTCTCTCTCTCTCTCTATTTCCCCTCCCCCTTCTCTTTTTTTTTAGTGTACTGTTCTCTCGGTGGCTAACCCCGTGTATTTAAACGTGTGATACGTGCATCATGAAGATCGTCAGGGCGATGATGCGCCAGCAGTGGCGCGTTTCACGCGTCACCGTCCCGTGACACGACGTCCTCGACGTCGTCGTCGTCGTGTGTGCAGTGTGTACGCGCGCGCTCGACTCGCCGAGACGAGGGGGCCGACGAACGTGTGCGGAAGACGAGGCGGCGGACGGGTGGACAGTAAGTCAGTCAGTCAGTCAGTCAGGTAGACAGAAGGAGCGCGGCAGGGACAGTCAGTCCCGTGAGAAGGCAAGCAGATCGGCGCGGCCATTTTTACACACCGCACGATGCGGCAACCGTGCGTGCTCGTTCGATCCGCCATTCCAAACAATCGGTGCGCTACGTGCCCTCCTCGCAGGATGCATCTGACGGCGGCAGGTCGTAAACGCACCGCCGTGCCGCAACGGCGACGATAAGCGCCGCGCCAGTTGGACGCACGCACAGGACGCGCTGCCCGCATACGTAAAGGCGGCGCGAGTGCGACACGATACGCACTGCGAGAGCGACGTGACGTCCCGACGAGGACGACAGGAGGACGACGGCCCGCGGCCGCCGGCAGTGACGGTGATAGCAGTGCTGGAGGAAAAGGCGGACGACGTCGTCGCCTTGTGGACGAGCGTCAACGGCGACGAAGACGGTGGCGAGGAGGAAGAGGCGGAGGCGAGGCGGCGGAGAAGGAGGCGGTGGACGAGAAGAAGAAGAAGGAAGAGAGGCACGTTGATCGTGACGAGGATAAACGAGAGAATGATAACGGCGCGCGCGACCGCGACCGCGGCGCGGACGGCTACGGCGATGAGGACGAACGGAAGGAAACGGAAGCCCCGTAGCGACCGATCCCGCTGCGCTGAACTTCTTGTGCTTCGTGCGTGTCTGTGATTCGCAGTGGATATCGTAAGCGGAGGATATATAGTGTGTGAACCGTCATCGGTGGTGCAGCGCCGTCGGACGATAATAGTGTACACTGTTCGCTGCCGTGAGTGTGCTTTTGCTACTTTGCGGTTTTCTACGCGCGTGTGCTTGGCCCTGAGAGAAGAAAAAAAAGTGTGCTCGCCGATCTCGTCGCGACCGTATCATTCGCCCGTGCATTCGCGAAGTGCTCTATCTCGGTGTTGCTATTCTCTCCCTTTCGCTCTCCTTTTCTCTCTTTCTTGTACGCGCTTTCGCTCGCTCAACTCGCGCGCGCTCTTTCCCTCTCGCATGCTCTCTGCCCGTCTGTTCGGCCTGCGTGCGTGCTTCTCGCGTGCCTCTTCGCTACACGCACCCGAACTCTCTCCGCGTACGTCGACCGCTCTGCACGCGCGATCGATGTGACATCGCGCTCTCTCGCAAGCACGCGATATCGCGACTTACGCATCGCGCGCGCCGTGACTTTTACGCACCGCCGAGAGCGAGAGGACTCGTTTCGACGAGCGCAGAGAAAGAGGGACATCGGAAACCAGAAACGTATGTACAGGCATACGCGCATACGTGTGACAGTGCGTGCCGACGGCAACGTCTCGTGAGTGCGTATCCCGAGGCAGTGTGGTGCCCTCCCTCCTTCCCCCCGTGTCCTGTCCCTTCCCCGTTTGTCCCTACCACCTCCCCTCGCTCTATCAGTGCCCTGCGCCCCTTCGCCCATCGTCTTCCTTTCTTCCTCCCCGCCGTCCTTCCCCCGTGCTCTCCCTCTCTTTCCCGTCCTCGCCTTTCTTTCTCTCGCTCTCTCCGTACCCCCCTTCACTCTCTCCCTTCTGTCTCTCTTCCCATCGGTCGAGACGACCATAGAATGCACGACGACGTTGCCACGACCATCGTTCCTGTCGTCTGCTCACGTACTGCCTTTGTCGTCGTCGTCGCTGACGTCGCCGTCGTCGTCCCCGCGCCATACGTTTGCGCCGACCACGAGGCAGCGCACCGCGGGTGATCGCGAGTACCATCGTCCCGTTGGACGTTCCAGTGAAGTGCCGGTGTGGTCGTGCGAAAATGGAGATCGAGGCGAAGCAGCGTAGCCAGAAGAATCGCCGACGGGAGCGGGCGCAGCGCATGCTGGCGCAGAGGGAGAGTCTGGCCACCGCGAAGCAGCAGCAACAGCAACAGCAGCAGCAACAGTCACAGCAGTCGCGACAACGGCCGCCGAACGATGAGGAGGACAGCCACAGCGGCGAGGACGAGGATCCCGCCGGCGGTGGAGGCGGCGGCGGCGGCGGCGGCCTCGGACTCGGACTCGGTGCCAAGACCGGTCATCCACGGGACGGACACTCGCGGCCGCCCAGGCCGCCGCGACCCCCTAGGCCCCGCAAGAAGTCTTCCCTCGTCAACGCCATCCCGAAGGAGGCACTCTTCGAGGAGGACATTATCGACGGATTCGCCATCCTCGCCTTCCGCACGTACGAGGAGCTCGAGGTAAGAGAGACGCCAACTGGTATGCCCGGACTTTATATCACGTCAGCGATCCGTCCTACCTCCTCCTTCCGCTGAAACAAATTCACGACTCGTCATATCATTTTATTTGCTATGCGTATGTACCTGAAAATCCGGTTAAACGTAGCTTTGTGCGTCTCTCGGTCGTTTCCGAGATCTTTTCTTTTAGTCGAAACGAAGATAAAAATATAAATTTGTGCGGGACACGTGTGTTTGAGGTAAAAGCGTTTGACGCGTATAAATTCTGACGTCGAATTCTTTGGCTGATAACAGTAAAGTTTGATGAATATTACAAGTAAGAACCATCCATCTTTTTTGCAACATATTGTTCATCTCTGCTTTCATTTCAATTCAATCATTTCCGGAAATACCTTCCGTTTCGTCATATGTCTTTCAACGTACTGTTTTTGAGAAATATCGTCTTTGTTTACTCAGCGAGATGCAGGTACGGCTGAAAGGGACGGTCATCTCTATTGTTTCGAATCCTGCGATCAGAACAAGTATAACGTCCTTTAGTCAATGATACGCTTGTCGATTGTGAACAGTGCGGTTCTTTTTGTGGAAAAGGTCGTCACGCTCTCTCTTAATCAATTACATTCCAGTGTATTTTGCTGAATTCACGCTGAGAAATTATCAATGCATCGTTTTTAATTCTATGAGATATCAACGTGACAATAAACGTGTTTTAAGATAATAAGCTTGACTAGCCTGTTGAAAATTAAGACATTCTAACACTACTTAATGGATCCTTCTTATTTTGATTTAGGACTCTGTTCTAAAAAGAATAATTTATTTAGTACGGATACGGCAGAGATAATTAATGTATTAATGGAAATACTGGTTTGTTAAAATTTGATTTTATCAAAAATTCAATATTTAATAATTTGTAACTTATGACAAAATACATTCAAATATATGAAAAGTTCGTATGCATTATATAGGATTGATAAAAGGATAATGACCGGTTGTTATTTCTGTGACAATGAATTGAAGTAATGTTAAATTCATTAAATATACTGAAAGCACAAATCAATGATTCTAAAACTGTTATTTGCCAATTCTACAAGTTTATAATGACATGAATTGTATTATTATATTATTGCCTGGAGTGAGCAAATATAGCAACTCAAATTAGCAAATTCAGATGATATATGTTCTCGATTAATTATGGAATACATGCGATTTCTCTGTGTCGCACAAAGTACGTGTGTGTAATGCACGCAAAGCGAATTTCGCAATCGAACAAGTTTGAGAGCAGCTGCTGTAGATAAACAGAGCGGAAAGTAAACTTACAGAGCTGACTTACAAGCGATATATTTAACAAAAAAAAGTGCACACGTTTATCTCAATAGAGGCGGTTTAAATCACAGAGATTAATATCATTACTTTTCAATAAATTGGTACTTCTGTTCCCTAATTAACAAATTACGGGAGCGCGCAGGCTCTCATAGAGCCGACCTCGGCCACTCGCGCGGTTTAATCGCGGTTGGGGCTTAAACCGACGTGTCAGTGCATCCGGCCTTTGAAACGTGCCTTCTCGATATCGACAACTGATAGCGCGACGATCGTTCTCTCGCGAGCGGCGAACGCGAGCGCGAGCGCGTTCCTTCCTCGGCGGATTGCATCGCCGTTGCGCCGTGATGCGCGTACTGACCATATCTTTTTTTTTGCGGTACGTAACGGTATTCGCGACTCGCAGACTCACACGGTGGAGCACTCCTCGCGCGAACGAGCAGCGAGATGAAAATCCGTGGAAGACGCTGCGAATTCTCCTCGCGAGGGAGAACCCGTTTCATTCGCTTAGCCCTGTATATATTAACCTCTGTATACATTAACCCCGTATATTACCAAGTATAATAATATATTACCATTTTTCTGCCCGAACATTCTGAGAAAATTTCCCTGATTTTGTAAATTTGCATGTGAGGCGTTGGAAGAACGAACGTGAATCAAGCGTATAATTCGTAAGGTCTGTGTTATTACGAATTACAATGTTAATTTGCTGCCCGGTTCTCTGTCTCATATATATAAATTACTTCGTTTAAATAGTAAAATAGCGTAATAAAAAAAGCACTCATGTATTTTAACGAAATAATAAATTTCTAACGAGCGAGTTCACAGTTAACATAATCGGAAATGCGATTAAAGAGTTAACAGGAGTTACCTCGGCGTAGCCAGAGATAGGGCATTCGACCTGATTCAAGCCGGAGATTACGCGAATGCACTGGACGTTCCGAGGACAGATAAGTCGCTAGCGAGAGCTCGTGTCGTCGATAAGACACATCGTAAATCGTGCACGAAGCAAATGTATATTTGTCCGCTATTGACATAAATTTACATCGCAACGAATCGCGACCTTGCAAGTCTCGCGCACTTTAATGCATACTTTATTTTGTTTTTCCTTTTCTTTTTTTTCATTATTTATAAAGTGGAAAATAATATTTTCTTGTGACAATTTTAAGAGAAGGATTTTTCAGAGAATCAAGACTCTGCAATTTTGTTTCATAATGCTCGAGGGAAGTGCTAAAATAAATCTTAGAATATTAATTGATGTAGAAACTATAAACACTTTATTCTCCTCTTGGACTTGTTTAAAAAACTGTCTACTTTATTGCGGTAAATATTTCTCCATGGCGAAACTCATCGGCGCATACGTCGCCGGGAGTGGCTCTTGAAAATTTTATTCGCGAGAGCAATCCTCGACAGTAAAATTTCCGACGTACATTGAGAGCGACACTTAATGAGTGCCCAATTGAGAGTTTTATTCTCCGAGAGCGATCCTCGATAATAAAACTCTCGAGTGTGCACTTCGCCTAGCCTTAGATATATTGCGCGACGTCCGATTCTCTCTCTTTCTCCTTGCTCTAAATTTGCTGGCATCGAGCCGCGTCATTCTGCACCCACTATTTTAATCAACTAATTCTGATTAGCAATTCTCTGTGCCTCTCATATTTTCAGCTATGAAGATCACATATGTCAAATCTCCACTTTATTAATAGTTAATATAAATTAATCAAATCGATCATTTTTGTTGTAAAAATCTTTTTACGTGCAATTAAAAATGAGTAATAATGATTATGCTCATTTTATTTAACGCAATTAAAATTTTTTCTGAAAAAAGTATTATTTTTAAAAACTGAAATATAGATAAAAAATATTTTACGACTCCTCTCAAATTGAATTATCAGCGATTGCCGCAGGAAACAGAAACATATACATGATAAATTTGTACATATTGATCTTGCATTAAGCTAATATCGCCATGGACACCTTTTATTCGTGGATTGATCATGAAAGAGTGGTGGAAAAAAATATGTTAACGTTTTGCGCGTAGTTTTATATACTTCTGCGGCTTAACAACGCGTTACAAGACAGTCGAAGTAAAGTTATTTGATTAATTTCACGTTAAGCACCGCGTCGTGATTTATCGCGAGCGAGTTCAAGATTATTACTCTATATTGAAAAAAATATTGATAAAAACTTGATATCGTTTGATAAAACTATGATATTTTAAATCCACAAATTGACTTAAGCACACCATGCGTAATTACGCGCTTTTATCGTGATTTATCACAGTCGGAAACTTAATGATTATCTTTTATTATCCACTGGGCCATAGGTCGTACACGCGATCTTGTGCGATTTCGTCATTTCTTTCTTTGGAAAGACGATAAAAGAATATATAATTTCTGTGAAGTCAATTCTTGTTATTACAAATGCGGGAAGATAAAAATGAACTACATATCACAATTCTAGAATGTAGAAAAAATATAGTCAAAAATAGATAAATAAATAAATAAATACAGACTTCAGATTTTATTTTTATATATTTATATTATTGAAGATTTTCTTATTTAAATTTAATAATACTATACTCGCAATTGTTTTTTCAGGATATTATCGCGAAAGATTATAAAATTAAGATTTCTCTTCATATTAAACAATTATATTACTGAAGATTTTCTCTAAAATTAAGTAATTGCATTACAAATTAAATAATTCACGCTGTATTCCTCGTCTATTCTATTTTGCATCATTTGTCAGAATACAAAATAACTTTCTGTAATTTCCCTCAATATCGACCAGATCAAATATAATTTGCTTTGCAAATTGATAACCGCGAAGTCACCGTCGTAAAGCTACCGTCGTACGTTCACTGATTATAGATGCTTATTTTGCGAGTTATTAAAGGCACAAGTCGAAGGTAAATGACGCGCTTTAACCTCGTTCGATTTTGAAGCGTTTCGTAACGCGATGCTCTCATCGATCTTTTTTTCACGTCTTTTTTATTTAATACTGAAGCGCATGAGGGTTTTTATACGTCGATGAAGCGTCCATAGTTTATCTATCAAGATTGCAATTCGTATTTATGATGACGGCATCCATGCAGCCGGCTTGAATCTGCAGGTGGCTCGCCTGTTGCAACCCTTCGTCTTCTTGATCTCACAGTGGGTTACATCTATTCCGTCTTCATATATCACCATATCGATAAAAATGTAACCCGCATTTATAGCGCACGTCTGCTTCTAAAAAGCACAATGGTATCAGTGCGCCAGTTTTTATACAACGCGCGAGATCAAAATACCGCGGAATAAAGTTCGTCAACAGCGCCGCGTAAGTTTCTCTTCTCTCGAAACGCTTTTAAATGGACGTAATATTCTGAAGATATAATTACACCGATTTCATTATTGAAATTTCAAATATTAACGAAGAGGAATGGGTCCCCGATAGAGATTACATTTTCATTATATACGAGTCATATATATCAGTCGAGCTTATTATAAATCGAGCACGGAGACGTCTAAGATCGATCATTTTCCTATGCAAATATAAAAAAAATACTGTAATCATATGATTAACGTGTTATTGCATTAATTCACGCATACACGCTGCCGATCGCCGTAATTGCAAACTCATTCACTATCAATATCCGAGATAGACTCGTGTTTCGCAGTGACGTAGCAATCGCGTAGCAACCGTCG